CGGACCGTATTTCGATATCAGCCACGATGATCAGCCACTTTTGTGGTGCGCACAGACCTTCCGTTGCCTCGTCTACAGTGATACCCCTCACTCAAGCCACAGCGACTGCCCTGGAGCTTTCGGGCGAGGAGGGGTTGGGTGGCCACGGCGGGGCACTGGCCTCGAAATTGCCGTCTCATTCAAAAAAATTGCAGTCCTTCAGCAGCGGGGGAAGTCGAACTTTTTCCTTTCTCCTCTCCAGTCCATCACCTCACAAACTCTTGATACCCTTCCATCTCAGTCGCTCAACTGAAACAAGATGGCGTTCGGCAAGCTCTTCACCTACCCGGTAAGCAATCACCAATTGCTTCTTGATTTCCTGTTCGACTTTGCGATCTCTGAGGATTCTCGAAGCTGACTTGTCGCCCCTCCAGGCCAACCCCCGCACCGCGGCCATCCGCGCCGTCGCGAAGGCCAACAACGTCGACCTTGAGTACATCGAGGCCGACACCACCAAGCCTTCCATCGAGCACCTCAAGGCCAACAAGCTCGGCAAGGTCCCTGCCTTCCTTGGCGAGGATGGCTACCCTCTCTCTGAGTGCATCGCCATCGCCATCTACAGTACGTTCGCCCTGAGTCACATAAGCCCAGTCCTTTGTTGGGCGCCGATTCTTCTCGCGTCACAAACACCACAGCCCTCACCCCTCCGAAATGACGAATAAGCACAAATTTTACAGTTATCCCTGTCCGAACCACCGTGTGGATAGAGTTCTAATTTCTGATCTTGCCATCTTCCTTCGCAATGCTTGGAAACCGCGTGCTGGGACACATCAGCTAACCCGGTCACAGTCACCTCACAGAACGAGAAGACCACCCTTCTCGGCAAGACCAAGCAGGAGTGAGTCACAGTCTGACACCCACCGAACTTGAGAGCACGGAGCTAACCGACCGTCCTGCAGCTACGCTTCCATCCTGAAGTGGATGTCCTACTTCAACTCTGAGGTCCTCCCCCCCATGGGTGCTTGGTACCGCCCCCTCCTCGGCAAGGACGCCTACAACAAGAAGGCCGTCGAGGACTCCTCCAAGGTCGCCCTCAAGGCCGTCAAGGTCGTCGAGGAGCACCTCCTCAGCAACACCTACCTCGTTGGCGAGCGCATCACCCTTGCCGACCTCTTCGCCGCTGGCATCATTGCCCGTGGCTTCGAGTTCTTCTTCGACAAGCAGTGGCGCCAGGAGAACCCCAACGTCACCCGTTGGTACGACACCATCATCAACCAGGACATCTGGACCGCCGTTTCCGAGAAGCAGGAGTACCTCGAGACCCCCAAGCTCACCAACGTCCCCCCCAAGAAGCCTGAGCAGCCCAAGAAGGAGGCCAAGAAGGAGGCCCCCAAGCCCGCTGCCCCCGCTGCTGAGGAGGCCCCTGCCGCCCCCAAGCCCAAGCACCCCCTTGCTGAGCTCCCCCGCGCCACCTTCGACCTCGAGGAGTGGAAGCGTCAGTACTCTAACATCAAGAACCACGAGGAGGCCATGAACTGGTTCTGGTCCAACGCCAACTTCGAGGAGTTCTCCCTCTGGAAGGTCAAGTACAAGTACAACGACGAGCTCACCATGACCTTCATGTCCAACAACCTGATTGGCGGCTTCAACAACCGTCTTGAGGGTTCCCGCAAGTTCATCTTCGGATGCGCTGCCGTCTACGGCGCCAACAACGACTCCGTTATTGAGGGAGCCTTTGTCATCCGTGGCCAGGACTACAAGCCCGCTTTCGACGTCGCTCCCGACTACGAGAGCTACGACTTCGAGAAGCTCGACCCCACCAAGGCCGAGGACAAGCAGTACGTCTCCGACTCTTGGGGCTGGGAGAAGCCCATCACCCACAACGGCAAGGAGTACCCCGTTGCCGACGGCAAGGTCTTCAAATAAGCGCGTCACTTATTTGTTAGGGGGAGATCCGACATTCACGGCTTATGGCAGAGATGAAATGAGTTTACGACAAGGCAAGGCGGTGTGTAGACGATGTTATGGACCCGAGAAGAGATATCTTGCGCGTAATGCCAGATGTTGTGTGCCGAGTCACTAGGACTAGGCAATAGATGCAGGACATTCCTGATGATCAAACCAAAAATACGTTTTCCCAACGGCGGCCGTGACCGAAAGTGACCTGACTTATTGTCTATTCCATTTCAGTGTCTATGAAGACTAGGGGTATCTCGATGCTATGAAGGCCGTATCCCACCCTGCCAACTACGTACTCCGGCTGCACACGCCTCGCAACTTTTTATCTGCAAAGTGCCAATCTAACCCAGGAACGCCACTACTTCTCCTCGGGCGGTTCCAACTTGTAGTCCTCCTTCATCTGAAATGGGTTTGTGCGCATGTAGCTGCTGACATCCGACTGATAGCAGAGCGAGTTGAGGTAGTCGTGAACCTGCGGGACCACCAATCCCGGCTCCGCGTCGTTACCGAAGAACTCGGGGATGCGAAGCAGGTTGTACGGCTCGCTGCGCGCCTTCTCGAGGGAGTCGTCAATGAGCACGGTGTTGCTCTGGTCCCAGCAGCCGCCGTACTCGGCGTCCGGGTGCGACGACTTGACGCGGGGGTCGTCCCACACCTTCTGCAGCCGCTTGTACACCTGCACGCGGAGGTTGTAGTCGGCCTTCGAGAGACCGAAGCGGTCGCGGCCCCAAATGGCCAGCACGCGGCGGTGGATCTCGCCCCGGTCTCTGCCGCCCGGGATGGGCGGGCCGAGGAGGAGCTGGTCGCACATGGACTGGACGTTCTGCGGACGGGCGGACGACCAGATGACCACGTGGAAGGTGTCGAGGCAGTATTGCAGGAAGCGCTTGGCGTACGGGCGCTCGACGAAGGAGGTTGCGTTGCGCCGGTTGGGGCGGTAGAGGAGGGTGCCGTTGAGGTCCATGACCACGAGGATAGGCTTCGGGGTCGGGAGGAGGGTCGGTGGAATGGAGGCGCGTTGGAGGTATTCTGCGGTCGGGTCGGGGACGCCGCCTGAGGCGAGTGAAGGGGCTACGATCTTATCGCGGTCGTTCATGGCCCTGCGGTTCAAAGGTTAGCTTGGACAAATGCGATGGAGATGGTGATCGCTTACTTTGCGCGGGGACCCTTGGGGGGAGTGGGCTGCTGGCTTGCGCCGCCGGGCGCGGCCTGAGAAGCTGGTGCGGCTTGAGGGAAGGGGAAGGAGCCGTTTTGTGTGTTGTTTCCGAGGCCGGGTATCGTGAAGCTTCCGCCAGGTGTTTGTGCGGGAGCTCCGGTGATGGTCGGGGCGGGCTTGGCCCACCATTGCATGTTGGGCATGTCCATTGCGTAGACTTTGAAGGGGTGAAGGGGTTGCGCGTCTGGATATGAAGGTACTCTGCCTCCAAATTGAGGATCGCGCGCGTCGTGGCAGCTGCGTTGCCTCGCGAGAACCTTTCTGGTTGTGCCCAAAGTCGCGTACGGCTGGCGGAAGGCAAGCCGGAAAGATCTGGGGTAGACGTTTAAGATGGAGGGGCGCATGGGCGGGTCTAAGGTCGCGGGGTGAAAATTGTTGTCTCTAATTGGCTCCGTATGAGCAAAAAGAAACTTGGCTCGTACTGAAAAATTATTCAGATAGCAAATATCGATTAGTTCGTTACGGCTGTTAGTAAGAGTGGATGTGGTGTGCTACGTGCGATGTGAGTTTGGATGCCCGCTGAGAGAAATTGTTCTCTCCATGCATTCCTTATCTAATCGATAAGAATATTCTTATCTACGGTCATGCTCATGTTGACCCACTAAAATTTTCGCTACCTCCAGTGCTGTAGACTTCACATCCCCCATATGATTCCTCAGATTGCTACTCACAGCTTCTCAGCAAAAAAGTATCAGTACGTCACAAAATGCTTTCGGGAAAGAGAAAACAAGGATTTGGTGGGCTTCAGCGCCGGGTGAGGCCGAGAAGAGAGCAGGAGGAGGAGCCGGAAATCGAGGAGACTTTCAGCAGCGAGCCTGAGGAGATGGGTGTGGAGGGTGATGAGATGAGCGAGGACGAAGAGGATGAGGACGAGATGGACAATGAGGAGGAGGTAAATCTCACACCTTTGATGAAACCGAGACTCGATGCTAACATTACCACAGTCTGATGGATCGCCACCGCCAAAGAAACCCACCATCGACATCTCATCAGTCTCATTCGGCGCACTCGCCAAAGCCCAAGCTTCCATGCCAGCGGGACGTCGCAAACGCGCCGCCGCCGCTGAACCCTCAGAACAGGACTCCGACTCCGATTCCGGCCCCGAGGAGGCCGGAAATGGCAGGAAACTCAAGTCGGCCGCCGACCTCGCCAAGCGCACGAGCAAGCACGCGCCCATGGAAATGTCCAGCAAGAGACAGGTCTCCCGCAAGCGCGAGGTCATCGCCGTGCCCAAGATGGAGGTGCGCGACCCGCGCTTCGACCCGCTCAGCGGCCCCGTCGACGAGGCCAAGGCCAGGAAGGCGTATGCGTTCCTGGACGAGTACCGCGCCGACGAGATGAAGCAGCTGCGCGCGGAGATCAAGAAGACGAAGGATGCGGCGAAGAAGGAGGAGATGAAGCGGCTTTTGTTGTCGATGGAGTCCAAGATGAAGGCGCGGCAACGCAAGGACAGGGAGCAGGAGCTGATGCAGGAGCACAAGCGTCGCGAAAAGGAGCTGGTGAAGCAGGGCAAGCAGCCTTTCTACCTGAAGAAGGCGGAGCAGAAGAAGAGGCTGCTCGTGGACCAATTCTCGAATATGAAGAAGAGGCAGGTTGACAAGTCAATCGAGAGGAAGCGCAAGAAGGTCGTCGCAAAGGAGAGAAAGGAGCTGGACAAGTTGGAGAGGCGACCTCGATAGGGAGGGACGGTGCATTAGCGTGGTCTATCGAGAATTACATGGCCTGTGTGTGCTTTCTGCTTCGCGGCCTTTGTCTGTCTTACTTCTTTTGACCGCATCATGTAGTCTCTCTAACATGTTGTTACAGTGATGATACAAATGATACAAGCGAACCAACCGTCTCAACCTCAGACGGTGTAACCGTTCTTCTTCAAGCTCTCCTCAAACATTTCTCGGCATCGAACCTTGCTACCGAGTCTGGCACAAAGCAGGAAGGCACCGCTCAACTTGCGGTGCAAGCTATATGTCTCCTCGGGCGGTGGCGCCAGTCGCTCGCGCAGCATGACGGGGATGAGGGCCTTAACGCGCTCGGTGATGGTTTGGTCCTTAAAGTCGTAGACCTCAGGCGCCGAGGCGAGAAACGGCTCGGCGAGCGTCAGCACCGACTTGACGTGAGCATCCACCATCGTCTTGCTTTCATGGCCAGTCAGATATCCAAGACTCTCTGAGAGCTCCTTGACGCCCTGGTGGTCAGATCTTGAGGCCGCCGCAAGAAGTTGAACATACTGCACGACGAACTCATCTGGATACTCCCTCGACGCGCCAAAATCGAGCAGCTCGAGCTTGTTCGTCTTAGCGTTGTAGAGGAAGTTTGTCCAGTTCGGGTCGGTTTGCATGAACTTGAACTCGGTGATTTCCCTCAAGCAGAGGCGGAGGATCTGAGTGCCGATCCAATCACGCTGGTCCTGGGTAAACGACGTGACCCTCGTAACTCCAACGCCGTCCATCCAGTCCATCGTCAGGACATTCTTTCCAGAAGCTTTCAGGTGAACATCGGGCACGAGGAAAGTGCCCTCTTCCCCGGCGAGCAACTCCTTGTACTTGATGAGACACTGGGCTTCTCGCTCATAGTCGCACTCCCAGCCAAGCTCGAGTCGTGCGTTGTCGATGGTCTTGTTGAGATACAAGCCCTTGGGCAAAAGCTTGGTGGCATTCAGCAGAATGCCGAGATTATCGAGGTCCGAGTTGATGGAGTCAGCAACGCCGGGGAATTGGATCTTCACTGCCACTTTTCTACCATTCTTCAGCGTAGCGCGATGGACCTGGCCGATGGACGCGGCAGCGATTGGCTTCTCCTCAAACTCCTCAAAGAGTTCCCGCCATTCAGCACCCAAGTTCGCTACAAGGACCTTATCTCTCTGGTATGAAGGCATGTAGTCAGCGCGGTCTTGCACTCTTTGTAGCACCTCCTGGATTGGTCCCGGAAGCATCTTGGAGTCCTGGAAGCTCATCATCTGACCCATTTTAAGCGCAGCGCCTCTCATTCTGGACAGCTTGGACACCAGTCTCTCCATATTGCCGGCGCTAAGCAATACCGAGCCCTCGCCCTTGCCGCCAAAGGCCCTGCCGATGCTCTCCGTGATGGCGCCTCCCATCATGCCAGCAGCCAGACCGCCATAGTTCCAAAGTCTGCTAATCCGGGTGGCGGGAACTTTGGATTCTCTAAGAACATATGCTGGTGTTGGGGCTGGGGATGAGGACTGGTCGACCGCTGCACCAAGCACGTCCTCGACTGGCGGCTCTTCTTTTTGCGTTTCGATTGCAGAGGCTTTGAGGACTGGCTCGCTTTCCGAACTAACAGGAGCCGCCGTTGCAGGTGTTTCTGTACTCGGTTTACCGTCCTGAGGTGCAGCCAGCGTGGGCTCTGGGGCGGCTTTGACGGCTGGTGGACTCTTCTCCGGCGCCTTCGCCGCTGGCTTGGAGTGAACAACAAACTCAGGAAGACCAACCGGCTTGAGCTTCTTTCGAGCGCCAAACAGTTGATCCATCTGCTTTTCATCCTTCTTTCCTATCATACTAGCAGCACGGTTGCCGTGGAAAATGTTGATGTTGACATCTGGTGGAACGTCATCAAGCTCTTCAGAGACGGGAGCGCCATATGCTGGTGTCACGCCCTTGCTCGTGGAGCTGTCATCTTTGGGCTTTGCCGCCGACGGCGACGCATCAGACCACGGGAAGCCGGAAGGGTTTGATTGCCTTAGTTGAGAAAGAACCGAACCGGAATCCGGCTTGGTGACGGATCCATGGCTGGGCTTGGACTGAAAATGGTTTGGAGATGCGTGAGGGACATGAGTGACTTTTGGTGTCGATTTCGGCTGCACTGGTGGTGCCTCTGTTGTTGATGGCTGTGCTTCTTGTGAAGCCGTCGGTGATGTACTCTCATCGGCAGTGTCTGCTCGTGTGTTTTCCGGTGCCACTGGAGCTCGGCGTGTTAAGCTGGAAGCTTTGCTGAAGCTCTCAAGCTGCCGACCTCTTAGGGCGACATGCTTGGATGCGACTGAGCGCGATGCACTCAGCACCGCTGCCACATCGACAGCAAAATCGGCGAATCTCATCTGAGCGGCAACTCTCAACTATCTCACGCGCAAGTCATTGCACGATTTTCGACCGGAAAATGACTGCACGTCTCCGTGGAAGCTCCGGGACTAAGTCGTTATCGTCATAAATCGAGAAAAGTTGAGTGATGGCTACATGCAACAAGCGTGGCTTGGAACCATAAATGCGCATATCCGATATATCGGACTAATGGGGCGCCACACGGTACTGCCAGTCGTGTAAGTCCTTGATCCGAACGTGGATTATCAGGCCCGAGTCTTGCAGATTGCTATTGTTATCTTGAGGTTCGTTTGGGGGTTGTTGAACTAATAATCTACTAAACCTAACCATGTTTGATGCGTTGCAAAGAATGATTATTGCTAAGCCGCCTCATGCTGTACAGCGCTCTCTTCTGATGTGGTATCTATCCTTGCTCTATCCCTATTCCATTTGGTCGTTATTCATTAAGTTTCATTCTACCGAATTTCACTGAGGGACCTTGGAGCCACCTTTCAATAGCGAGCCTCGTGCCCTCAACGGCGTCGCTTTCGGAGTCGAGCCGCTGGGGCTTCCCCGTCTGGGACTTCCGATCTTACTCCATAGTCTTTGAGCGGCAGGCGTCAGTCCTCCAGAGACCCTCGGACTAGATGGAAACTTTGGCACTGGGGTCCTCTCTAGCTTTCCGGTCAATCCATTCTTTACCGATTCTCTCTTGGATTGCGCTGCCCTCTCAACCAGCCGATGATGCAGACTTTCCCTCTTGCCTTGCTCCTGTAATTTAAAAGGGTTGGGAGTCGCATCACCAGGGCCTAAGTTAATGATTGGTGCTGGAAGAACCTCTTCTTCATCATCGGCGTCATCAACGAAGGCGTAGCCATTCACTCTTGGCGTTTCTCCACCTCCCACCGCGCTCGAAGCTTGATCGTCCTTTCGCGGCCTACCCGCGATGGCGTCTCTCACCGCAGACATTGTTGGAGACGGTGGCCTTTCGACAATCGCGGGCTGGGGGATCCTTGTGTTCTGGTAGTTGATCGATTTCGGAGCCATCATCGAAGTCGCCTCGGCCCTTTGAGCAGGGCTCTCGTATTTGTCATCAACACCGTCCGGCCCAAACATGAGATTGTTCTTCGGGTTAGCGTTCCAGCTATCCGGCCTGGCTGGCCTATCATCGGCATCCTTGATTGCCAGCCTGTCTCTTTTGATAAACCCGTCGTCGATCAAGCGGCCGTTCTGAGCCAGCTTCTCCTCCACTTCGGCTTGCTTGATCATCTGTTTCGATGGCAGCTTGTTCCCATGCCAGAGCCATGCATACTTCTCCGCTTTCTTCTGACTTTGCTTGTCCATGAGCTTGTAGAAGCTCTCGTTATCCTCACTGGTGTACTTGGCCTGGAAGTTGGCTAGGCTCAAGTTGGTATCCACAACGGGCCTCTGCTCCTCAACGACTGTTGGCGCGACAGATGCTGGTGTATCCGCGCCGTACGCTGACGGTGTGCGCCCTCCATTCTCGAACATGGGCGGTATCTTCACCCTCTGCCTTCCTGGGGTCATCACGCGCTGTAGCCTTTGTCCAGCGCTCGAGATCCATACTGCGTCCTTCGATTCGAGGGCGTCGAGGTATTCCTGCTGAGTTTCCGATTCCAAAAGCCCAGGAAAGAAGTCGCGCGCGATAATTTTCGAGAGGGCATCGGTATATGTATCTTCGTCTATGACCTTCTTGGGCCTCTTGATCTTCTTCGCGGGCGGCGGTGGTGGCATGAGGTCGGTGTCAGTGCGCTTTCGCACCAGCGCGTTGGACTGTTGACTTGGAGACTCCATCGTGACGTCCTATTGTTGCTAGGCGAGCGCGCCGACTTCGGGTGTCTCGACAGACCGTGGGTGGTGAAAAAGTGCCATGCAGAGGCTGTCGTGTTGCAAGTCAGCGAAGTTCGCAGGATAACACTGGCGCGCTCGCATTCAGGCCTGAAATGACGTGGAGCCGATAAAAGATAAGCCTGATTAGGGACCCTGGAAGGTTTCGAAGGCACGTATGCAGCTACCGAGGCGTCACCCGCTAAAGCCGTCCAAATCCATGTCCGTGCTTTTCAGTGGCAACTGCCACCTGGGAAGCTGAGGGTAATGGAGGGGCTAGGCCCGGAGCTGGCCCTCCTGAACCCCTGTCGAGATCCTGAAGTGGCAACTGAAAGCCGCCCCGCAGTTGCGCTCAGCGTATCGCTTGGTGCAGTAACACAGCGTTGTAGCGCACTGTTTCTGTTACCTTAGCTCCGAAGAGGGTTTAAGGGCCGAACCGTCGCGAAAGGAAGCTTTTTGACTTGGTCCCCCGGAACTTCAACCTTCTAAGAGCTTCCGCAGGCCGAAAACTTCGCCGATTACGACCCTTCCCTCTCTCTCCCATTCTCGTTGTGTGCGTCGAACTCGGTGTCGCACTCGAAAACCGCACTCTACACCCAACAGTCCGCGGGCGACAGGATCAGAGAGCGTCTCGAGGCCTCTTCGCCACGATAAACTACCCCACACTTGCTTTACCATTTGCACCAAGTCCGCGCTGCTGTTGCCGCCATGTCGACTCCGGAGGAGCAGGCCGTGGCCTTCAAGAACCAGGGCAACAAGGCGTTTTCTGCCCACGATTGGCCCACTGCCATTGAGTTTTACACCAAAGCCATCGAGTTGAACGACAAGGAGCCCACATTCTTCACGAACCGCGCCCAGGTTTGCCCCGCCCCCTCCCTTTGCGACAGGCCCTGCATCTTGAAGTTGCTCGTGTGACTGACCATTTCTCGTCCCGGTGCAGGCAAACCTCAAGTCCGAAGCTTACGGATATGCCATTGCGGATTGTACGAAAGCGATCGAGTTGAACCCCAAGTTTGTCAAGGTTCGTGCCTCTTGCCAGCAGGCACCCGGTATAAACAGCCCGATGCTGACGTCCCGTCGCTTTAGGCATACTTCCGTCGAGGTCTCGCACACACAGCCATTCTCAGGCCCAAGGACGCCCTCGTAGACTTCAAGGAATGCATAAAGCTCGACCCGAACAACAAGGATGCCAAGCTCAAGTTGGATGAGTGCAAAAAGATTGTGCGCAAGTTGGATTTCTATGCTGCCATTGAAGTGGGCGACGAGCCGTCGGCTGCGGAGGGTCTTGACGTTGATTCTATCAACGTCGAGGCAGACTATGATGGTGTCAGATTGGGAAGCGAGATGACGCAGGAGTTCATTGACGACATGACGGAGAGGTTCAAGACTGGCAAGAAGATCCACAGGAAATACGTTTACCAGATCATTCTGGCCGTCAAGAAGCTCGTCTATGATGAGCCCACCATGGTGGAGATGGAGGTTCCTGAGGGTGTTCAGCTTACCGTCTGCGGTGACACTCACGGTAAATTATCTTACCACAGTGCTGATGCGCTTCGGGCTAACCCATGTGTAGGCCAGTACTTCGATTTGATGGAACTGTTCCGTTTGAACGGAACACCGAACGACAAGCACTACTACCTGTTTAACGGTGACTTCGTCGACCGTGGATCTTGGTCAACCGAGATTGCTCTCCTGCTTTACGCTTACAAGTGGCTGAGACCCAAGGGTTTCTTCCTGAACCGTGGCAACCACGAGACAGACGACATGAACCGAGTGTACGGCTTTGAGGGAGAGTGCAAGGCTAAGTACAACGAGAGGTATGTGCTTTTCGTTACTTCTTATGAGTCGCACTCATTGACAATCGCAGAATCTTCAAGCTGTTCTCCGAGAGTTTCTCAGCCCTGCCCCTTGCCACCCTGATCGGAACCAAGTACCTTGTCCTGCACGGTGGTTTGTTCTCGGACGACAAGGTAACTTTGGACGATATCCGCAAGCTCGACAGGCACGCCCAGCGCCAGCCTGGCCAGTCCGGTCTCATGATGGAGATGCTGTGGACGGATCCTCAGGACGAACCTGGCCGTGGCCCGAGCAAGCGTGGCGTTGGCATGCAATTCGGACCCGACGTTACGAAGCAGTTCTGCGAGAACAACGGTCTCGAGGCGGTCATTCGCAGTCACGAAGTCCGCATGGACGGATACGAGGTGCAGCACGACGGACGTTGCATTACTGGTGAGTTCTTTTGGTATCTAATGAAGTGCATTCGAGGCTAATCGTTACAGTCTTCTCCGCCCCCAAATACTGCGATTCCACCGAGAACCGGGGAGCCTATATCAACATTGGCACCGACTACAAGTTGAAGTTCAACCAGTTTGATGCCGTACCTCACCCGGATATCAAGCCCATGGTAAGCATTGCGCAACACCCCTGCTTGGTTCGCCGCTGACTGTCTTCCAGGCATACGCCCAGAGCTCTCTCATGTCGTCTCTGATGTAATTGACGTAAAACGGACGGTCGTTCCGGGGATACAATGTGGTATATCTGCATCCGCTGCATAAACGGCGCATGTGATCGGCGCATATAGGGGGCAGGCTGGAAGCGTGGGATTTGGCCATGCGGATAAACGGAGTTTTTGTCTGCAATCGATAACCATACCCGAAGTCTAGAATAATTTGACGCTTGGGCGTGTGGCTTAACCCCTCCATCATGTTCAAGACGTCCAGAGCTTGTCCTGGCCGTTTGCACCAACCATAGCTCCTAGATAGTCGGAACACTGCTTCACTCGGAGCGTCCGCCGGTCGCCCTGTTCAGAGACACCCGCCCAGGCGGTAATGGCCGCTGCGAAAGGGCTCAGGTCTTGACGGGGTACTCGCAGCCAGCATTCTCTGTCTTCGACTTTGAGGATATCGATGGGGATGGCGGAACCGGTGGCGCCCAGGAACTGACGCAGGGCGGAGTTGCAATAAGACCTCACTTGCAAGTTGTCCAGGGGAGTGATATCGGAAACCCGTGATGCGTCAGAGACAAGCTCCAACTGAGCATAAGAGAATGGTGGGGTCTTAATGGTGCAAGTGAGAAGCTCGTGAGACTTTTGGCTGGTCGCACGCGGCGTGCTCGTTGGGATTTCTGAGCTTTGCGTCGCCATGTTGAAAGGCCAAATGAGATATGCTTTAGTTTCAAGAAGTGTTGCTGTAAGCTTGCAAGCGCAAGTGTCGATGGGATGAGGTGTTGTAAGTCGACTTGGAGAATTTCACCCCAGGATGAGTGATGTACTTTGATTCGCGGCGTGGGTAGGCCTGCAGGGTCCCTGAGGTGGGTCCGCTGTCGAAAGACATGACGCCCCTTTAAATGCATATGCAACTAGGTAGGTGGTTGGCTCCCCAAGTGAAGCCGCCTACCGCCTCCAACTTCCTATCGAGAAAGCCAGCTTCGAGCGCGACGACACCTTCACGACGAACACGATCTGCTCTCCTCCTACCCGCGAGTCTCTCCGTTCTCAACCCGCCGATTCGCCAAGATGTCGAGTGATAACTACGTCAACCCCAACCAGCAGCGCTACCTGCGCGCCTGCATGGTCTGCTCCATCGTCTTGACCTACTCCGTACGTTAGCCACCTCGAAAAAAGAGAAAACGACAATGGCGACTTCCGTCGCAATGAGAAAAAAGCATCCCAGCTAACGTCACATCCCCTCTCCCAGAAATTCCGCGACGAAGGTTGCCCCAACTGCGAAGAGTTCCTCCACCTCGCCGGCTCGCAGGACCAGATCGAGAGCTGCACGTCCCAGGTCTTTGAGGGCCTCATCTCCCTCAAGGACCCCGGACGCTCCTGGGTCGCCAAGTGGCAGCGCCTCGACAACTACGTCCGCGGCGTCTACGCCATCAAGGTGTCTGGCCAGCTCCCCGACGAGATTCGGACGACACTCGAGGAGGAGTATAGGATACGCTACATCCCGTATGTGCACGAGGCTGCTGCTCTCTATTCCCGGAGGGCATTTGGTGGAACTATATACTGACTGATTTTTTCAGACGCGATGGAACGGAGACCGAGGTTGATAACTAAAGGACGTAGTAATCGGGTCGGGAAAAGAAAGAAAAGGAATCATTATACTTGGTATTCGGCGTTCAGGGGGAATTAAGAAGGTCGGCATGGAGTCAAGGCAAGACTCACATTAGATGAATCAATTCGCAATGGTATCTGAAATCGCCCTGTAACATATCCTGTCCGTTCTATGATATGATGCCGCAGTCCTCAACCCAAAACGCCGGTCCGCCCCTAAAACAAACGCGGTGAATTCATGATGTCTCACCGTTGGTCCGTCTTCTGCTTCTTAAACGAGAACCCTCCAAACCCGGAACCCTCCCTCGGCCTCTTCTTTTCCATCCTTTCCATGTCCTCTTTCATGATTCTCTCGGCCTCGCTCATCTTCTTGGGCTGCTCGAAGGCCGACTTCTTCGCGTCACCAGCCAGCGCATTCTTCTTGGCTTGCGCGAAGACGTTCTTCTTCTCCGGCTTGGCCGTCATCTTGAGTGAAATGCCGCCTAATGAAGGCTTCTCCGCAGGTTTCTCTGCCGGCTTTTCTGCCGCTACGGGGGGCGTCGCGGACCCAGACGCGTCAGGGGATTCGGTTTTGGACGGCTCAGCCTTGGGTTTGGCCCCAAACGACAGCGATATCTTCTCCCCCTCAGCGCGCTGAAGCCCCTTTTCCTTGTCCTCATCCTTCTCGTCCTTCTCCCCCCTCGCTTCAGCCTGCTTCTGCGCACGCTTTATTTGCTCCCGAATCATCATCTGCTCGACCTCTTCGTTTCCTCGATCCTGCGCCTCTTTCCTTCGGAGTGCTTCTTGTCTCTTGAGCGCCTCGGGAGAGTTGTCGATCCAGGCAATGTGAAGGCCTTTCTCCGTCTCCTCAACGCGACAGATGCCCTCCCTGCCCAGGTGTTTCGCAAACTCGGTCAAGCTGGGCCATTTCGTCGCGTTCATGTGGACGTGCTCCTTGTTGGCGATGTACTCTTGGTAGAAGTGGTTGATATGAACCTGCTTCTCGCCGTGACCGGTGCGGAGCAGCTGAATGAAGTCGCGGAGGAACTGGTTGCTATACTCGTTGAGGAACTTCTTGGGGTCTTCGCCGACGAGGAGGAGCTTCCGGACGTGCGATTCGGACAGGCAATGCTGCTTAAAGGAATTCTCATCACGGGTTTGCTTTTCGCAAGGTGTGCAGTACCATCGCAGGCGTTGCAGGCCCTTCATCTTCATCTTGTTGTTCAGGTACTTGACCGACCCGACCTCTGCTTTCGGCATCTTGGCGATTTTTTCGGGGGGTTCGTGAGGAGTGTTAATTTGAATATGTCGCAGAGTATAGGAAATGGTTTGGTCGAAAATTCGGCGGTTGATGTCCTTGTTGAGGATTTAGGGGTCGACGTTTTGGTTGATGGTGTAGTTGAGGATGGGAAGTGATCGCAAGGAAAGACGTGACAATCCAAGACGGTTGGTGTTGACGGTGGATCCTTCTAGCTGCTTATCTTATCGGAAATACAGGGGTCTGGTGGCGGGGCTGTACGGTGTGCAACGAGTCTGCCCGACACTGTACCCCACTACGCCGACCTCGGCCTCGACTGGTAAATATTTACCTTCACCTAAGTGCGGTTACTGGGGTGTTGGCCGGCGATGCAAGATCTCGAATCATGGATAACATAATACTGGATAATTATCTCCTGACATCTCCATATAGAAATACTGAACGATTGGTCACTTCCTGATGTATGCTGATCCGTGAATGATGGAGAAACAACCCTAACTTCGGGACCGTTGCACAAAAATCGGTGCTGGGCGTATCGGTGTCAATCAATGTCATCTTGCATTTTCCAAACCATGCTCTACATCCCTGTCTGTTTTGGCTGAATCCAACATGCAAACTTGTGCTCCAATCAATATATCCCCATACGAGAATGAAGTGTGTCTATATACCTTGATCCAAAAGGACATGTCTCGCTCCATGACTATGCAAAGACACGACTAGTCTAATCGAGGAAAGTAAACAGATTTGTGTGCAGAATGTTCATGGCGCGGGTGGCGTCCCGGGCCTCAATGACGCAAGAGATGTTGATCTCGCTGGCACCTAGATTCAAAGTCAATAACAACATCGTGAGACCTGTCTCGGGATAAGCCTACCTTGCGAAATCATCTCCAAGTTGACATTGTGCTCTCCTAGTGTAGAGAACATGCGTCCGGCGATACCGATCATGTTCTTCATTTCCGCACCGACCAGACTCAGGATAGCCATGTCGTGAAGAACGCTGACATCGCCGCAGTCTTCCAGCTCCTTCCGTGCCCTGTCGAAGCTGCCGCCCTCTGAGTTTCCAGCGTGGATAGCCATGGAGACATGCACCTCACTGGTGGAGATGAGATCAACCGAGATCTGGTTCTTGTCCAGGATGGAGAAGACTCTCGCGAAGAAGCCATGGGAGATGGAGCGCTTGTTTGAGTGGACGTTGATGACGGAGATCTTGTCCTTGATGGTGACGGCTGTCGGCCTCTTGGGCTTCTGAATGAGAGAAGGATCTGAGGGCTTGGAACGCTGGATCTGGTGGCCAGCCGTGAGAATGGGGTCGGGAATGACGATGGTTCCAACTCCTCTCGGGTTCTTGACATTCTTGATGCGGATGGGAATAGGGGGCGACGCATGGATGACCTGGTCCATGGTGAGGTGGTGGATGACTTCGGAGCCGTAGAATGTCAACTCCGCCGCCTCGGACGGGGTGATGGAATGCAGCAACCTCGCCGTGGGAACTTTGGTGGGGTCCGCAGTGAAGATTCCGTCAACTTCCTTCCACACCTGCAGCTCATCCGCCTTGAGGCCGACTGCGCAAAGGGCTGCGCAGAGGTCAGTGTAGCCACGGCCAATGTCGCCGTCAATCAGGCTGCCCGGGACATTGCCAAAGAACCCGGTAACGACCGGCACTCTGTCTTCACATGCCGAGATCTTTTTCCGCAGTACGGTGGCCGCCTCTTGGTAGAAGCTCTGATCCAGGCGAGAGGAGGCATCATAGTGGAACGCATCGCTGAGGTCCACATATTCTGCAGCGACACCCTGTGAGAGAATTAGCCTCACTCTCATGACGCAGAAATGGGCAGTTTCCTCACCAGATCTTTCAGTAACGCGGCCATGAATCTACAGCTGAGCTTCTCGCCGAAGCTGATGCATCTGTCTTTCGATCTCGCGTTCACTTCGAGGTTAAATCTCCTTGCGGCCACGATGTATTCAACCAGTTCTTGGCACTCATCCCGGATCTCTTGGTCCAGTGATGCCTGCAGTTCTGGGTTCTTGATGAAGGTCTTGACGGCAGAAACATGGTCATTAGTGATGTCGTCAATTAGACCTCTGGCCTGGCTCATGAGGTCATTCTGAACCTCCTCGGTATTCGTGGCAGCTGCGATGCCTTTGAGCTTGTTGTACACGCCCAGGAGTCTTCCAAAATCAGTGAGCAAGCTAGGATCGGCTGGCACGCTGAGTGACTCACCGGCTGGTGGTGCCCTCGACCTTCTTGCCCGTGCTTCTTGCCGAGCAGACGACAACGACCTTGTTCTTAGCGAGGCTCGCTCTGCATCAAAGTCAGTAGGAGCCTTCATTTCACACGCGGATGTTCCGTCTTACCGGACAATATCCGTGGCGATCTAAAGGGACACACATCGAGTCAGCGTTTGCAGCAATAGTAACGATGCAGACTGAGAAATACCTTGTCGGGAAACTTTCCCACGCTGGTGCCACCAAACTTTTGCACCACCCAGCCGTTGCTGGAGGTGTTTGCTATGGGTTGGCTACTCATGATGCCTCAATTGCAATGTGCAGGCGCAAAAGTGGCTGGTGTTTTAGTATGACTCTACTCACAGGGTCGCGGGGGAGGGGCGCTGTGGTCCGTAAAGTGCGGGAAAAAACAGATCAGAAAAAATGAATGGCGACGGTTGGACTGGGTCGTCAACCCTCGAGCAAGTATCTTCGGTGAGATTTGCGTGTGAGGCAGCAGCAATGTTTCAGCTAGTATGGACAAGTAGGTGAGAGAAAAAGTTGAGGGTGTCAACGATGGTGGGATAAACGGCTTCAAGAAGTGTTGCGGTGGATTGAATTGAATTGGACTAGATCCAAGGTGACCGAGATGGGACGAAAGTGGGATGTGGAGCACAGCGACGAAATCGGCGACGCCTGTCCAAGTCGCAGCTACCAGATTTTGCGCTTCCGGAACATCGGAGGCGGGCCCGAATCTTCAATACCGACCCAGTGCCGCGCTGCCTGCTGCTCAAAGCTTGCCGAACAGATACAGAGGGCCTTGCTCTGAAGGACGGCTCACTTTCGTCACCCTACCCGAGGACTGCGCAAGCCTGTATTGCATTTCCTCCTAGTCGAGTAGCCCTTGATGCCGCTGTGACAACCGCTGCAAATACACCCTGCACGCCGTCTACAGCTATTCCTCATGCAAGAACAGGGCCGAGGAATCTGAATTGGGCAGTCTATCCGTGGCAGCCTCTATCCGTGACAATTTCTTTGTCTGAGTCATACGCATAAGCTTACTGACTCTTCTGTTGCTGCAATTTCCAGCCCAGCCTCTGCAAAGAGGCATATCCAGCCCCTTCTGCCGTTTGGCAGCCGTGTCCAAAATGCACCTTGAATTCTCTAAGTCTCTCCTGTCCAACACCCCCCACGGGGCAGAACGAAAGTCCGGTACCTTTCGATGTTTAAGCCTCCTCGCTGTCTCTGGCCGCCACTCCACCTGCAGGCTGTGGTGAACACTGAAGAGCCAGCCTATGAAACCGCTCGCGAAGAAAACTTTTAGTTGCATGTTCCCGGCAGCGCGCGGGGGTAGCGAATCAGGGACAACCCAATGACGAATGAGGCACACTACACAGTGACAGACGGGGGTCCCTCGCCCCGTTCAATAACCGCCTTTGACGCTGCTGCAACGCAACGCTGGAAATCGATGTTTGTCCCACTTCCTCTGGCAAGGCTCAAGATTGGAACCCACCAGCTTAGCCATATGTGCACCCATGAATACCCTCAGTCGAAGATAAGTGCTGGCCATTTGACCATGGTATCCCCGTAGTGGTTAGCGTCTTTTTGTTGATAGGTCTCTGCGCTTATGATCCCATTGGGCCATACGATTGCGAACATTATGCTAGATTCTCACCTACGCTGGAAGTACAGTCTCCGAACAAGACTCGGTAACGTAAATTGTGAAGGATGATACTTGTAACTCTTCTTCAATGCTCTCCCTGCCGGGTTGTATTACCACTAGATAAACGTATAATCAAATGCCCATGCCCCGGACCAGAAACGAATTGGTATAGCAACCCGCGAGCACCAAATGCAAATGCCATCGCCGTCCTCATCGCCATAAAAGGAACGTCAAAACACCCAAAGCAGAATCCAGAACCCAAAATCCCGGTCTAGTAGAACAGGCGCAGAACTCATAAACGACTCCGTACCAAATGGCAAGAGCTTTTCCCACGCTCATACAATCGTCCAGTCGTGCCATCGTCATCACACTGCACTCGACAGTCCTCCTCCGGCATCAAGCCCCGTCGAGAGGCCGCCTGGCAGATGACTATCGATACATGACACCTGGTTTACCAGGTGCGACTATATTCCAACTCTCCTTCGTTATTGCTGCAGCTCAGCGTTTGCAAGCAGTGCTTGGTTGACCTCCGAGTGCGAGAAAGTGTACTTGTCCATGGGGAAGTCCTCCTCCGGTGTGCGGATGCCGATTCCGCTATCGTCAGGGTTGCTGCCGCCCGTCATCCCAGCCGAGTCGACTTGTCCCTGGCTGTTTGATGGAGGGAATGGCGCCTTGTCCGGCTGCGCTTGAGGGAGGTTGGAGAAGTTGAACTCTTCGCTCCCCGTGCTGTAACGGGATCCTTGCCTGCTCGTCTCTTGTCCCGTCAATTGGGGGTTGGCGGCAATCGCTGATGCGCCCGAAGTCTTCATGTTGAGGAAACCACCCTGCTCAGCAAGGAAGCAAGTCATCTCATCGATCCAGCACTTTGTCACCCACCAAGAGCCGAAACTCTTGCCCTGAGCCATTGTGAGATCCCGCATCACTGCTGTACCGACTCTTTGCACGCAGTAAACAATCTCCGTATGTGACGCGTAGGGGAACCGTGTCGGCAACGACTTGAGGAAGCCGACCCAGCGCTCCAAGACATTCTGGCCGTTCGCATCCGCAGTGCCCTCAGCTCCAGGCTGGCGACCGTTCCTCAAAGCAATGTCGCCATAAACTGTCAGACATTCCACCTCCCAAGGCACGTTCATCGGGTTGAGAAGATCGCGAAGTTCGGATACTAAAAGGTTGACGAGATCGTCCATGCCACGTGTAGGCACACATTCGGCGACCTTGCGTACACGGACCATCGTGATCCAATCGAGGTACATTTGATCGCGGTTGGCTGGGTTCGAAAGCATGTTGGCTGCTGCGTGAGCAGTCAGGTTGACTCTCAACGCGCGGTCGAGCAGGGCTGCGAAAATAGTTGCCGGTGCTTCTTTCGCTCGAATGACGTGGTGCGGTTGTCCCTGGAAAGCGTCTCGAATATGAGGCACGAGGCGCTCTGAAATGTTGCGCAAAGTGTCCAAGACAGGCTTGGGCACGACCTGAAGTGTCAACCCGGAGATGATTCTAAGCATGCGCTGGTAAAGGATGAAGTCGCATTCCTCAATCCAAGGGGCGAGAGCTGGGTTGCCAAGCAACTTCTGCACCGGCATGGTTAATGTGCCCTGGAAGGATGTGTAGAGATGGAAAAAGGTCTTCTCCTTGCAGTAACGAACACATTCGACTAGTGAGGTGCAATGCGACCTGTATAGGGCAGATAAGCTCTTCGCGGCATCCGGGTCAGTTCCGTTGGGTAGGAAGGGCTCCATGCGAGGTAGCACAAGAGGCTCGTTGGACTGGAGGAGGGCCTCATCCGCTTCGGAGGGAAACGAAAATTGGAGCGATGTTTTGGATGTGGATGTGTTCAAATGATCCGCGCTGGTTACATTCGGATGGCTGTAGAAGCTGTGAGATCGTGAGTGCCCCTGTGGTGCTTGGGCAGGACTCTCCGGCCGCTTGGCAGCATCTGGCGAGGGAAGAGCGGCTTTAGCAGGTTGCGACTTGGTGGGAGCCGTGCTGAAGCTCTGGGAACGGCTGGGTTCTGAAATGGCCATTGGGATCTGAGGCTCTGGCTCTCTGAGGTCAGGCTGGTCATCGACCAGAGTGAAGTTGACGTAGTGATACTTAGATTCACCACGAACACCAAGACGCCGAGTCTTCAGGCCGGGGAAAAGGACGCGGACGAGTTTACCGAAGCTGGCCGGGTTGAGGACGGTGATCCTCTCGGTGGCACATCGAGACGCGTAATTGGCATAGACTCTGCCGCGAGGCACGGAGCCTTTACCCTTGGAGCATACCGAGTTGATCCAGAGCATGGCGAATACCTGTCGGGTCCGTTCGGAATTGGGGCCTCGCTCATTGCCGTGAAGCTCCTTGGCAACATCTTGTAGGCCACGGTGTTTGTTGGCGGTGAAGAGGTGACGCATTTCCAGTTCGTTATTGGCACTAGATCTGGCAGAGCTGGACTTTTGCATGCCCATGGCTCCAGCCATGGAATCTTCGTCGTCACGGTCCATCAGCTGGCTATCTTCGGTAAAGCTGTTGTTGGCGAAGCTTTCGGAGGGTAAAGGATGGCGAGGCATGGCGTGTTGTTGGAATGACATGGAATGGTTCATGGCAGCGCTGGACTGGCTCATGGACATTGAGTAATCGCGGGCGTTGTGCATGTGTTGTGCGGCGTGGAGCATCATCTGCTCCTCCGGAGTTATCCGCGACGCGGGTGCGAGATTCCTCTGCTGCCGTTGATCATTGTTGACCCATTGTGCAGAGTACAGCTCTGGCGCGTCGGCGAAGGATTGTTGCTCCATGGTCGGCTGGGTGGAGATGCTGTGAACAGAAGCAGTTGAAGCACGGGATTGAGGTCTCTTCTTGGCCCTCAGAGCTTGGGCGAGATGGTCTGTTTACATTTGTGATCAGCGGGGGAGAGATGGCAGAATCGTGCTCTCGACGTGGAGGAGCATGAAAAGGGTTGTTGATCGTACCGTGATCCATAATCCGTCAGCTCTGTCGTTGGCAGTTGTTGTTATGCGACGAAAACAACACACGGTCATGCAGGACAGGCTACCTAAACAATGAAAGAAAGCAAGGTGCGCCGTGCAGAGAAAGTGGACAGAGATGAGGTTGCAGAAAAGGAGGAGTCGAAGTCGGCAAAGCAATCCGAATCCCTGCAGGGTGGAAAAGCGCGGTGCGCTGTGGTGAGAGCGTCGATATAAAGGATATGGTCGGGGGAAGTGTGGATGGATGGGTTTGTTTAGGATTGCCGACAAAACGACAAAACGTTGTCGTCTCGACAACGCTAGCCTGTGGCTGGAAACACCGAAAACACTGGCTGGGAGTCACGTGAGCCGTAGCTCCGAGTTTGTTGTTTTGTTTTTCGATTGGCCGATGCTGGCGATGTGGGGGAATACATGGATGTCTTTCTCTCCCCTCCGTCTTTTGGCGTCCCTCCAGTGTGTCGAAGGTGCGTGCTTTGTTCCATGGCGGGAAAACAACCGCCTGATGAGCCAATCAGGGGCCGTACTGATTTGAAGCTTGACACAGCTCCGGACGCCTGGCAGGTCAGGCAGCAAAACAAGACCATCCATGATCCCCACCACGCCCGCTTCTTACCTAGTGTAGGTAGTGTTCCTTCCACCAGTGCCTCTGTGTTTTGTCGCAGTCCTTGCTGGCCTTGAGGCGCCCTCGTGTTAGGT